TAATGGCGACCAGTTTTGATTTCATAGCAGGATTTCACAAAGATGTCTCTGCAGGCTATATCGCTTTCGGCAGTGACTGCCATATTCTTAATAAGGAATGTAAATATGAATTACCCAGCTAACACTGAACCAAAAATAAATCAAGACCCCCTAACATATTTTGCCATCACTGAATTTATCATGCACGTGACCAGATTCTATCAAAAAAAGATTTACCCACAAAGCATCCAGTTATGAAAAAATTCCTCCAGGCAGCCACATTTTTTAAGATTTACTCTTTTCCAGGACTGCATTGAGCACAGAGAAGGGAGCTGAATCTGGCCCTCTCACACATTAGCTAAGGGATGACTACTGTTCTGTAAAAAAGGCGCCCTATACAGTTTTAACTCCAAAAGGGGGAGCAGAAGCAGATGTGTCCTTCCTCCCGAGTGAAACATTACGTCTGGGAGAGAAATGGGGCTCAAAGATTCACTGTAGACTTTCCTTTTGTCTATTATAGCTCTCAAAGCAGCATGCTGATTTTCTTCGGGTGCTTCCATAAGTGTTTCACTTTCTTTTTTTTTTTTTTTTTTTTTTCAAGGAGCCTGTGGAATTACTGATTTCTCTGCCTTACAGCTGGGCATTACCCCACAAGTTGTCTGTTGGCTCAAACCCTTTATCTTAATTGGTTACACAGCTCCTAAATGACAGCGGCTGGGTACACAGGAAGGGTGTACAACCCAAAGAGAGGCACCTCGTATCGCATTTAGAAGTGCTATTCGTCAGCATGTAAGCAAATACAGAATACAAGAGGAGTAAACACTTAGAAGATATCTGTGCACATTCAAAATAAACAAAATTATCAAGGTCCTTTCTTTATCAGTATTTTAAGACTGGCTTTGCTTCTGTTTAATTTAACAGAAACTTATCACTCTGTTCTAAAAGAACACTCCCAATTCTCTATTTTTGAAAGTGATGAATTCAGATACCTCTTCTATCAGAAAGAAAATCAAACTCAACGGGTACATAGTGCTTCCCTAAACAAAACATTGACTTGCTCTTCCTTAATGACCAAAAGTAACTACATGGAAACAATGTGCAATATTGCTTATGCCTCACATAAGAAAGACATTATTTGTAAATCATTTCAAAGATAAAAAAAAATCAGGAGAGAAAATAGACATATCCGACACCACAGAATAATCTGTTGGGATAATGCATCAAAGTAAAACACCTCACCGGATACCAGAACTCTTAAAATGGACACCAAAATTTAAATATGAAAAGTATTTTGAAGTATAGCGAGACACTGTGGAGAAATCTCCATTTGTAGACATTTCTGCATTTTAAGCGCCTTTTAATTTGACACTTTAATCCATTTCATACCCAAAATATTTTAATTCAGTTCCTATTTCTACTACACTTCAAACACCAAATTCAAGAGACATGAAATGCAGGTGCTACTTTACCAGGATTACATCCTTTTTAAAGAAATTATTTTCTCAGGATGAAGTTATTACCAGAGAGAGCTCAATAAGGAACTTACACAAGCTTCTTGCCACTTTCTAATTGCTTCCATGATGAATAAAGTCACTTTATAAATGAGAAATTCTGCATTATGGACTGAAAATGCTGAAAGGTAAAACTACAAATGCAACTGTGTTAGTTATAACCACAGACAGACCTAACAGAGACCGTAAGAAATAGAACAGACACACTAAGCAATGCTTAATATTTAATCTCTAAATTTATATTTAGCCAAGTAATTAGACCTGCTCAAATATATGAAACACTTGCAATGCCTGTTGATCAGTGCTTAAAAGGATTACTTCAATGCAAAGAGTCACTAAATTGATTAAGCTAAGTTTTATTTGATGTCTGGTGCTTTCAGGGATTCTGTAATTAAATAACTTGCATATTGGCACAATCCTATTGATTTAATAGAGGTATCTTGATTTATGTGAACTTAGTATGCTGCACATTGTCACTTATGGGTGCTAACAGCTTATATGACATGATATTCAAATATGCTTTTGCTATAGAACCCTAGACTTTGATGCAAAATAGTTAGGAAATATTGAGGGTGCATGAAAGGCTGAGGTGTGAATAAAGATGGTAACTAACAAGTTGAATCAAACAGTTCATTTTACAGTTAAAACCTGCTTTTGTGATACTGCAAAAACAAAAGTATAGATACCTGTAATTAACTACAGTGGTCTGTAATTTTTTCTCTCAGGAAACCAGCAGTTGGAATGTTACAAAGCTATTATGATAAAAGTCATCACAATGAAGCAATGCACAATCAAGAACCAAACTCTAGAATCTCACATCATGAGTCAGGTAGTGATTAAAAAAAATCAAAACTTGTTGAGAGATGTGGCCCTTTCACTTGCAGAATGCGACTTCAAATCCAGGTCTAATGGCCATGGAAGTGGAATCTTCTGGACCTGGCTTGAAACTTTCACTTTAGGTGAAATAATTTCCTTTTCTCTATACAAAATGAGTTTCTTATGGAACTGAATAGGTACTCTTCCATTGGAACTAAATCTGTGATCTTTTGTTTAGGAAACACTGAAATGAAATCTGTTTTCAGAATTCCCCAAAGTATATTACCAAATAAATTTTCCATCCTTAGGAGATTTGGGAAATTTTAATTCTCTGCTGCCAGGCTGGACCTAGTGCTGGATACTGAAGGCTCTCAGGGTCTAGTACATAGCCAAGCCTTAGCAAAACCTAAGCCTTTCAAGAATGTGTGGAAATCCTAGAGTCTCTTTAGTGCTTTTCGGGTCCTGCAACAAAGAGACAGGATTGTGGAGAGCTTCAGCTTTCTGAGCTGCCTGTCCCACAGCGCTTTGGTCTCTGGTGACCAGTCCTCATGCTGCCTTCAGAAAACCCGGCCTCCGAGGGAATGCCCCACAGCTGAGGTTGTGGGCTCTGTCACAGCTTGGAAGAAATTTGACAGTGTTTCACTGGAACTTTCCGCTTTTGCAAAATACACAGGTTTTGACAAAACAGCACTTTCAGTGATTTTTATAAAAGGTGTTTGGGTGGAAAGTTACCCGTCAGCTGTACTCACCTGGCAGGTCTCTCTGTGATCACTCTTTCCTCCCTTACCTTGTCTTTGCTACAGCTCTCAATATGCTTGGTTTACAAAACAGCTTCTCATAAACCGTATAGTGTTTCATTAATTTGTGAACAATGGTGATGATAGTGCATACGCTTATTAGGGACGATCTATTTAGTATAATATAACATATGAAGGGTGTCACAACTGAATGCAATAAATGCAAAAAGGATAATGGTTTTAACTTGAAAACTTTGGAAAGTTTGAAAAAGTGATGCTGGTCCATACTATACAGCCTCTTTGCTATGTTGGAAATCAAAAACTTACCTGAGAACCAATAATAACCTGCATAAGATGGTAATCATTGAATTAGGAAGTGACAGGCTTGCAGGAATTACATTGCCACTCTAAATGTGCCCGCATTCCATTAATTTCTTTCAATTAACAAAAAAAGGGGGGCAGGAGGGTGGCAACGATGAGACAGACACAGTTAAAATGCCTACTTCTGATATCAACAGTTATGCACGTTTTTCAGTCCTTTTCTCCTTGGATGCTAAAATTTTATTTCCAGGTTTTTTTAAGATGCTCTATTATCTAACGCAATCAGGAAAAGGCTTTTGTTAAAAATACTGGTATCTGCATATTCTCTCAGGAAAAGTGGCTGTTGCAAGTGTATTTGTTAGATGGAAGGTTAAAGCAGTTTGTGTTGAAAATAGAAACACATATACAGAAAAAAACCTCCAAAAGATAGGCTACAGGCAGGGGAATTTATACAATTACCTCCTTCCTGTCACATTAGCTAAAATTTATCTGCGATTATTAAAAACTAAGTCAATATAATTTTTAGCCATCAGTTTTTTATTTACATCTGTTTCAATTTCCAGTCTACCTGGCAAGATCTACCTGGAACTTGAGAACTGTGTCCTTTCCTTCCACAAGCTTTGCTTGTCAAATCGATCCCAATTACCTCTTCAGAAGTGGTTTATCATCAAGGACTTACTAGATAATTTCTCTGGATGGGAAATGAGAAGGAATTTCATTTGCTCTCCTTTCTCTGAACTGCTACCCGTGCAAGGCTGAAAAAATGTCTTTTGCCATGAAAACACTGCTACACACGTATACACTAGTCAGAAGCTAACAGTTTCTACATGTTTTTCAAGGGCTCTCACATTCAAATTTATTTTAAATCAAAACTTGCCCTGTTCTAGACTGGCTCAAACTTCAAAGATGCAACAAAACTCAAAAAGGATGAGAGGATTTTTAGAGAAAAATTAGAGGTGAAATGATTCACTCCAAAGAAAACAAACGCCACATATGTTTAACAAACTCTTCACCTTCCTTATACTGACAACCCGTGTACCATTAAATTGATTTATCCTGGAAAACAGATGAGTGCAGATAACATACATTTGACTTTCAGGATGCAAGGTCGCCCTGTAGTTTAGATTCCATTAACTAATCTTAATGTACGAGTGATTAATTTGCCCACAAGTGTAACAGTTAGAACAGATGCAGCTAAATTGATTGACTGTACTACTTCATAATTGCTGTCTCCACATTGGTATAAGCATCATTCTCAACCAGAAGTTATGGGCTCAATGTAAAAATTACTGGCTTAACTGGCTTGTGTTATTCAGAAGCAAAACGAGATAAGTAAGGTATCTTTATGGCTTAAAAATAAGCGGATCAGGCAATAACAAAAAGCTGAAGATAAAAATTCTAAAGACAAAAACCTACTATTTGTGCATTTATATTGCATGTCTGCTGAAAGAGAGCCTTTAATCAAAATCCTCTGCTGCTGTAAATTAACTTAAACGTAGAAATAAAATCACTGGGACTGACTTAACAACAGCAAATACAAAGGTATTTTTGACAGTTTCTTTAATTGTGCCAGTATGTCGCGGAGCCACTCTGGCCATTTGACATTTGAGGATAATTAAATTCAAAAGCACCATACCTTCCGAAGAGGTTTGAGCTTGGTCTCCATTATAAAGTCGTACTTGCAGAGTTCACAACAGCGTGTGTCTGAGCTCTTGATCCACTGGTGCAGGCAGGCCTGATGAACAAAGCGCAGGGTCCCTGTGCAGCGACATGGTGTGATGAGGGGACTTTCATCATCTCCCTCACAGTGACAGATCCTGACAGGAAGGACAGCAAGAGCTAGTGAGGGAACTTGCCAAGCCGCAATGCAAAGGCGCTGGTTTATTTACACTGCTTTGGCGTTTTCACACTTGACATTCATAAGATGCCAGTTATATGACCTTTTGGATTGAGGCCCAGGAAACATATTCCTTGTTTCCTTCTGCCACGTAGTAATTTCTCTTCACTTAGTTATTTCTCTTTGAATTTGCTACATGGTCTGAAGGTGAATCAATAGAAATAACACCGTTTCTCCCTTTCATGCGTAGCAAAACCTTTAAGACAAATACCAGTGCTCTTTCTTAGAGCTGGACAGTTCTTGGTCTGTAGGTAATACCAATAAACTATACAAAGTTAGCAGAACCTAACCCCAAACTGGAAATATCCAGTATGAAAAGTACAAAAAGTTCTTAAGATACCTCTTTGGCGTTACACGGTTAAAAGGATAAGAGAACAGTTTTGCGTACTCTGGAGTAATACGTATGGTACAGCGTACACACACGTGCACACGCTTTTTAGGAGGCAGGTGTTAAAAAGGCATGGTCCTTCCTCTTTTTCATTCTTCACTGTCCCTCTGAAGCAGACAGCTGTGTTATCTGGGAAAACAAAAACTACAGCTGTAAGCAGACCCTACGGCAGGGGTTGGACCCAAACCTGTTGTTTCCTTGTAATGGGATACGGAGCTTTCCACTTTGCATAAAATGATCAGTGTCCTAACATCACAGTCTGATGGTTTTCTTCTGTGACACATGTCCGAATGTCTTGGTAATCTTCCCCTCTTCCAAACAGATTCCTGATTATATCAGGAAAATGTTCAGCCATCGAAACCAACACCAGCTTTATTGGCAAGTGCCTCTGTGAGGGCAGAGGAAGCTCTACGGTGAGCAGAAGGCTGAACTGAACACCTGAAGTGAAGGAGGTTCACCTCAACGAAGAGTAACTCCCTCCCATCCCCAACCCAGCAAAACACAATTAAGAACCCAAGCCCTAATGAATGTCCTAAGAGCCAAATTGATATGTAAGGGGGAAAAAAAATAATAAAAAAATGCTGAAGCCTGAGAAATGTTATTTGAAAATAGAGAAGTGGCAACAACAGCACAGATCCTGGTGTCACGCAAACGAAACTTAGAGCTTAGAAACTTCATACTTAGGAAAGGCACCCTAAGATAGATGTGTTCAGAGGAGGCTGGACACTTCTGAGGAATAACCGGCCCCTTTATGCAGAAAGCTGTGGCCACACCGCTCCCAGGGTAGGAAAAGGGCTGGGGAGGGCCCTGCGGTGAGGTCGTCTTCCTACTGACCAGGTCAGGGAAGAAGGGCGACCTTCTTCACTGCACAGGAGGACCTGGCATAGGTCAGGGGCAGCCGGGCAAAGACACGCTGTGGAACACTGGCTGCAGCACAGCACCGAGACTGGCCAGTCTACAAGTAGGGGGAGAAGGGAATTTCAATATCTAAGTGAAAGATCTATGGATCAAAACCAGCTGCTTCACTATTCTTTCATGGTGCAGCCTAGAGCCATGAGAAAATGAATCTACAATAATGGGAAAGAAGAACAAAGCTGCTTTGCTGGATATATAGAAAGAGACCAAAAAAAATCAACAGAAAAATGAAGTTCAGGAACCCTGGTACACAAAAGCTGGGTTTCAGTGTCTGCGGTGGTGCCCGTACAGCATTTTACACACCATGGGAGCAGAAGGGAGAAAAAAATACCCACAACTTTCATCTTGCACACATTCATTTTTGAGACACTTTTTACAAGACCTCAATTTACAGTCTTTTCTTTATTAACCCTGCCAAGCTAGGTGCATCAGTGGCTTAGTTCTTAAATGGAAACTGGCTATATGCTGACTTCTTATTGAGCCTGTAGCTTAAGCAGAACTAAATTTTCAAAACACCAAATAGCTATTTTGCTAACAAATACATTCCCAGCTGAGGTTTACATAAAAAACCCCATCATTTTCTTTTTAAATTAAAGCTATTTCCCAAAGGAATACGAATTCTTCGTTCATTTAAATCCAAGCTATTCATAATTTATTTTACAGGCTTAGCATTTAAACTATTTAGAAATTAGACAACTAAGCTAGGTACCCAAGAGCCCTTTTTCTACTGCTGCCAGAATTGTTTAAAATTATTTTAAGAGCTAAAATACAAGCCTAAAACTCCACTGGGATCTTCAAATAAAGTGACTTTGCAAATTTGAAATGAATAGAAGTATTCCTCAGTAGAAATACTTCTACAGAAAAGCACTATATGAATTATACATTCTATTTATTCTTTCATTGTACAAAAGTTACAAGCAAAACGTATAAATAACAGGGTGACATTAAGAACCTAAGTTATCCAGAAGCTCCAACTAAATAATCTAATGGCCTCTTCTAGCTTTCTAACCATGAAATCTGTAATGAGAATAAAAACAAACTTCAAATGGAATTAAAGTCCAGCGAAAATAACCAAAGGCATGGGTTTTCATTAGCTTGAATGCTCTTTAGTGCAAATTAGCTCTTCATTATTTGTTTAGCCAGAATACATTAGCTTAAAAGAAATTTGTGCTACCTACGATCACAATCACCGTCTTTAAAGATACGTGGGTGCCTGACAGCCACTGAAACAGGCTGGTGGCTAACTGCTTAAATATCTTTTAAAGACTTGGGCCAGATAACTTTTAATATCTTGCTGAGTCCTGAGTACTGAATCAGAATTTTGTACGGCTTTGCCCTTTGCTGTATTTATGTACATCATAATTATCACGAATTATAGAAAATAAATTGTAAATAATGGTTTCGAAAAATGTGTTGTGCAAACAGAACTGAGGTAGGGATACAAAGCAGACACTTTTCTCAGTGGTGTCTAAACCAAGTTGGAGACAGAGAACTTTGATTCTAGTTTCCCATTTCTACATGATCACAACTGTTCAAAATTTTCACCTGTCAGACTGACTCTACAGGGCTGACCATATCCTGAGAGTAAAATTTGCTTATGTACTTTAGAAATTACTTGAATGAAAAAAACCCACTCTCCACTATGAAGAAAAAAAAAAAAGAAAAAAGAAATTGCTAAATCTGTACTGATTTATATAAAGTTGTACAGCACCGATCATGCTTAATAGCTGCAGTTTCAGCTGCTCAGACACACCTACAGAATTTACGTACTCAGCTTTTCTCAACTTTCTAGTGCTTTAGTAGATAAATGGCTTTCATTATAGAGTAAGACTTTTCACTATCTGGAAATGGAAGGGAGGAGAGGGAAGGCAAGTCAGCTATTTGACCAAGTCTTTTTAGTTAGAATCCCTTTATAGTCACAAATTGAGCTTGCATAAATTTTTTTTTTTTTGGTAGGTTTGACAGCTTAGTGCTTTAAAGATTCCTGTCTATGAACAGGACCATGCTTGCCTAGGGGAAAAGATGAGTACCAAGCTCCAAAGGAGCTTTTTCTCTGTAAATCATGTGTACATCAGAAAACATGGCATATATGAGCTATTAAATGATCTCCTCATTCGGATATACAAACTCATGTGTGTATGTGTAATATACACCTACAGACATACCCCTACACATTGAGATCACAGAATATTTATTTTTCTTTAAAGCTCACTGTGCAACTATATGAAATAATACTTTTAATACTGCAGTCACTCTTATGCTTAAGTTTTTGCTTTATATGCCACTATTTTAATTACCCAGCACATATTTCTCTAGCACAGAACTGTTTCTACAACCTGCAGCACACACATGTACCACACAGAGAAATTTATGCCAACACTGTGCATCAGACAAAAAAAATCCATAAAAAAAAATCTTTAAAGGATGTTCTTAAATAGCAGGTTCACTTGTAATGCAATAAGTTAGCAGAAAGAAAAAACAATTTTCGGAAAAAAAAATCAAAAATGCTAAACTGAAACCAAAATTAGTCTTTGTGAAAGATTTTGCATAATTCATATGAAAACTGTTGCAGATTTCTTGTATGTTCCTTACACAAAACCCAGTTCTCAAACAGAAAGAGAATAGTTCAATTTAGAAAATATTTAGAGATAGATGTATGTAAAAATGGAAAGTTAAAGTAGTTTACTGAGAAAAATTTAGTATTATTTTTCGGTATTTCTTTTTCTTTAAAACATTAATTGATTTTAAGGCACATTCAAATGATGCTGAAAAACTCATTGATAAGGCAATGGTTGGTTGAGAAACTCTTTGTGACACACTAAACTTTGCACCATAATGACTATGCAAAATAAGTAAAGTAACATTGTCAGAAATTTAAGATATACCATCTCTTTCACTGAAGGACATATTGACACCATACATACACAAACGAGAGAAATTGATAGGATTAAAATCATGAGACGCTGCTAAAATAAGCACTCAGAGGTAAGGCATCTTCAGAATTTGGTATTGTTGCAGGGTCTTTAATTCTACGACTGTAAGCTGTTTCCCCTTGTTTCCCCTGGTCCTGTTCATTGTCAAAGTTAGAAGGCAGGAAGGGAAGTATGAAACGAGATGGCTACAGTTTGGAGACATTCGTGTGCTAACTGGATTTAGGCTGATATCCAGACAAACAGCAAAAGCTATCCTGGATGACTATCCTTCCCTTCTCATCAAATTAAGATTTTTTTTTTTATTATATAGACCATTTCTTGCAGAATTTCAGTTTAAAAGGTCAACTAAAATCAGTATGTAGCAAGGAGCTCACAAGGAAAATTTTCAGCTTTCCTGAGAGTGGTTTAGTTTGGCAAAATCACAGCAACCAAAATGACAATCTAGATGGTTAGTCACCATCTGAGCTGCTTATTGCAAGACATACAGATAAATTCCAACAGCTTTGTAGCTTTTCCTTCACATGCAAGGTAACAATTTTAGTCTCATTAAAGAGAGTAGCTGCTAATCTGTACCCTCATTGGAAAAACAGCAGTTATCCTAACCTGTCTTTCACTAATCCACTTTACTCTTCGGTAATTAAGAAAATAGGCCAATTTCTATGCTGCTGTAGTGAAGTGGAAAAC